GGGATGTTCGAAGTAAACTAATTTTTGGTTATGACGACACATTCGAAGGCGTTCAGGATCTAAAGGACACAGCACAAGTAGTTGAAAATGCTCACTGCCATGCAACACACATGGTGTCCACCAGATGTCAGACCTCTTGGCAGGGGCCCCTAAACCCCGAACCCAGAACATCCCAGAACCCTATGAAGACCCTAGACTTGGGATGTTCACCCTTATACTGACAGTCCTAAGTAGGGATTGGAATAGGGGGTACTATAATGCCTCTTAATGACTGTTAGTATAAGGGGGAACATCGAAACCCCAAACCCCAAACCCCAAACCCCAAACCCCAAACCCTAAACCCTAAACCTAAATCCTAAACCCTAACTTGCTGAGTCAACCTTTGAAGGTCCGTCGTGGCGTTTCCGGCGATGGACGCAGGCTCTTGACGGAGGACTTTCCGGGAACCTGGACATGGGCATGCCCCCAAAGTAGGTTTAGGGTTTAGGGTTTAGGGTTTAGGAGTTCAGGTATAGTACCCCCTCTTATATCCCCTGTAAAGGGCTCTTTGGGTGGCAGCTCCTAGCATGGTGAGTAGGGTCGTCACGTAGTAGCCAGTAGCTTAGGGTTCAGGGTTTAGGGTTAGGGTTTAGGTTTAGGTTTAGGGTTTAGGGTTTAGGGTTTGGGGTTTAGGGCTTGCCGGACTTGGGAAAGGAGACGATCGCTGCTCTTGAGTCCGCGCGGACGGACAGCGGTTTGGCAAACGAGGCTTGGGGACAGCATTGGGAGCTCGGTGAGGGTGTGTGCACGTCGCATGTACTCTTCACCAGTCTTGCGGGTAGTGTGGATTGTGCTTGTGTTGTTTAATTACAGGATACTTTCACTCAAATTCACTCCCTTGCACTTACGCCCTCACAGGGTTTGAAAGGCAAATGTCGCACCTTGAGCCAACACTCCAGAATTCCAAACAAGAAGCCAGCCACGTGGCCCCTCTACATGATGGTCCGTTTGTGGTGTCGGCTAACGACCTTGACGCAGGGTCCCCATGTGGGAATCGGCCCCATGTCGCAGGAGAAACAATGCTTGCTCGGGGCGCTCGCTGGCTTCAGCGGACACGAGTTTGGTTGGGGCGGGGCGGCCTGTACATATTGGTCCGTGCGCGACCCAGGAACCGTGAGTAGATGCGAATGGGTCTCTGGGCTTAGGGTTTAGGGTTTAGTGTTTAGGGTTTAGAGACTCGCCACCCCCCACCCCCCCCCCAGGTTGATCGAAAGGAGAACAACGCCATCGTTTGGTTCACACAGCACATAGACATGCCGGAGTGGGAGGACATCCAGAGTTCGGGGCTGCGGAAAAAAGGCCGCAACACTCCTTTCAGGGGTTAAGTTCGCCTTTAGAGACTCGTTTCTCGCAAGAAGCCTGCGGAACTGGCCAGGGGATGCCTGTCAGGTAGTAGGCCGGGTAATTTGCCTGGACGTGCGCATGCCACAGGACCAGTCGGTGGTCAGCAAGGAGGACGCAAAATTGGGGAATGGGTCTTGGTGGAAGCTCTGCTGTAGCTTTTTCCACCACGGCTCACTTCGGTGCACTCACCACGGCCCATGGTTCGCAATCCTAAACCCCAAAAGACGTCGGACCGTGTGCCTCGCCTGGATCCAAGTGTGAGCGATTAAAACCCTGATTTTAGGGTCTAGGGTTTAGGGTCTGGGGTTTAGGCTTCAGGGCGAGACTACCACATGCCGAACCCCTGGAGGAGGCCGACATCTGGACTGTGTTGAAGAATGGCCGAAGGCCCAGGCGCAACACTTTGTCTCTAAACCCTAAACCCTAAACCCTAAACCAGCTATGATGTGGGGGGGGAGGGGGTGGGATCTTGCATATCATTTCGGTGTGTTGGGTTTTGTTGTAGGGTTAGGGTTCAGGGTTTAGGGCGGACTCTTGGAACCACACCGACCCCTAAACTCAAACCCTGATAAATCCTAAAGCTCATGGGTTTTGCGTTCCTTGGGTATCTAAGGGAAGTTGCATGGGTCCCATAACATGGTCCCTTACGTTCTTCAAAATGCTGTGAAGCATGGGCCCAAGGGTTTTAGAGGGCATAGAAGGGGTCTACAAGGAGTCACCAATTAAGGACCCAGACTAAGGGACTTTGTAAGAACTCATAGGTCTTGGGGTTCTCTAAACCCCATAAACCCTATAAGCCCTCCAAACTCTATAAACCCTACAAACCCGAAACTCTAAAACCCTAGAAAGCCTAAACCCTACAAATCCTCAGCCCTTTCCACCCTCAACACCCGATACTCCCTAAACCCTGGTAAGACCTGACATGAAGCAGGGTTTATATTACTGTTTTTGGTGAGTGCATATAGGTTCCTTTTAAAATTGGTGAGTGTACATACCGGGTGTCCTTTTGGGGGTACAAGAAATATATACCCTACGTCGACATATTTTGGAAGCCAAGCCTCTCCTTGGAGGTTCAGGGGCAGTTATATTAGTAGGGCGATCCTTTCCCTAAGTGGGATTAGAAGTATAGTTCCCATATTTATAGCCCAAAACCCTAAGTCCTGAACCCTGAACCTTGAACCCTGAACCCTGAACCCTAAACCCTAAACCCTAAACCCTAAACCCGAAACCCGAAACCCTAAACCCTAAACCCTAAACCCTTACCCTCAACCTGACTACCTCATGAACCTCCAAGTACAGGTCGGGGCGCTGCAGCCGGGCGCCGACATGCCGTGGGTCCTCCATGGCCTGCTCTTTGAGGAGCTGGGCGTGCGCGTTCAGGGGTTTGGTCCCGCCAGGTGGGTTTAGGGTTTAGGGTTTAGGGTTTAGGGTTTAGGGTTTAGGGTTTAGGGTTTAGGGTTAGGATGTTCCAGGGCTTTGGGCAGCGCATGGCAACGAGGGAGGGAGAGACAGAGAGATCAATTGATAGATGATGCGCAGTCACAATCTAGGCCTGAAGCGTGAAATCCTAGATGTGGCGGGGGAGAGACAGCTTCTTACCGAAGCTTAGTGTGGGTCCTTGCCAGCGCAAGGAGACAGAAGTGTTTTCCGCTGTGCTCCTCGGTGTGCTTATAGGGCCCCAGGGAGGCCTGGCGAAGTGGCATCCCTAAGCCTAAGCCCTTGTTTACACTTTTTTCGGGGGGGGTTTAGGGTTTAGGGTTTAGGGTTTAGGGTTTAGGGTTTAGGGTTTTGGCTGCTAGAATACGGCGTCTGGGAGATTTTTGGAGTTGCAGCTCGGGCCTGAAAGCCGGAGCAACTCAGGAAGACTGCTCTGCGGGCACTGCGCATGAACTAGGTAATGTGGCAGCTGGAGTTGGGGCAGGCAACGACAAAAAGCACAAACTCTGCTATCATATTGTGATTATGGTTAGCCCTGAACCGGAAACTCTTAAAGCCCAAACCCGAAATCCTAAAGCCTGAGCCTAAGCGCCTTCACATTTCGAGAGTTTCGGCTGCTTCCGAGGTTGCCGATGCAGCTGCAGCCGCGGGTGACCCGGAGAACCTCAGGCCAGGAAGCCTCCTACAAAAGGGGTCGGAATAATTACTAATAGTGTTCCCTTATGGTCCCTATATAGTTGATAAATTGTACCAGAATAACCACCAACACCTTATTCTAAAAATTAATTCGGCGCCTATTTTACGCCCGGTTGCTTTGGGTGTGGGGTTTATGGTTTCAGCTTCACAGGGGTTTAGAGGTTTCGAGGTTTATGGGATGGAGGGTTCAGAGTTTAGGGTTCTTTGCCTGCCTGTGATGCGCGGCGTTGTCTTTTAACTTGCCGCTTGTGCAGAAACCTCGAAGAGGTCACAACTAATTAACTTTTCCCTGGTAATGAGCCATGCAGTCATTTCTCAAGATCTGCGCTTCCCCTATCCGGAAAGCGCAGCTACAAATTTTCAAAGACCCTCCACTCCACAAAACGGCATGACATGATACTCCCAAAAAAATTCCATAGATGTATCTACCCATTGCTTGAGACCCCCAAAATATATGTATATAAATAAAATAGATAAATAAATAAACAAATATATATATATATATATATATATTTATTTATTTATTTAAATGTATATATATGTATATATTCATCCTTCTATGGGTACTTCAGGGATTTTTTTTTTTTTTTTTGGGGGGGGGGGGGGGGGGGGCGGGGGGCGGGGGCTTCTTAATCACGTAGTAGTTACTACTATTTGCTTAAGAACCCCAAAAGAATTGAAACAGAATAATCATCCCGATATATAGTACCCTTAACAAGGAAGAATAGTTCTTATTTTTGTAATAATCCCTATATATAGTACCCTTAGGAAGGAAGAATAGTTCTTATTTTTGTCGGGGCTTCTTAAGCGATTAGTAGGTTATGAGCCCAAGACCCCCTGATGCGGAGAGACGACTGCGGCGCCATCGACTGGGATCCCGGCATGTCTGGTCAACTCGACGGCCGCCCTCCTGAAAAAAAACAGGAACTTGCATCTACCCTAACGAGTAATTGCTTAAGAACCCCAAAAAAATAATTAAGTAATATTCTTCCTTCTAAGGGTAATAAAAGGGATTAGTGTTTGTTCATTCTTTTGGGGTTCTCAAGCAAATAGAGCGAAAGCCTTCCTGGGTTGGACCAGGGGGACCTAAAAAAGGGAACCCTTCTGAACCCTCTTCTGGCTCTCTTAATCAGGGACCTTGTTGAGAGGGTAGATATCCACACGGGTCCCCCGAAGTCTGTCTCCTAAGCCGAAACCTTGGGATGTCCCCCCCTCATACAAAGCCGTCCTTCATGGGGACCAGAATGCGGGGGGTACTAGAATCCCCATTATCAGCATCCCAAGCCTAAACCCTAAATCCTAAATCCCACACCCTACAAAGGGCAGATGGGTGGGAGTCTTTTTGAGATGGCCCTTATTCTAAAAAAGGGGACCCCAGACAAAAGCCTTGATCCAGAGAAATACCCCTAAACCCTAAACCCTAAACCCTAAACCCTAAACCCTAAACCCTAAACCCTAAACCCTAAACCCTAAGCCTCCATGAGGTCCCTGGAGCAGGTTGCCCTGCCAAGCGACGTCGTCGGAGATCTGTGGTCGAATGCGGAGGCGCGCTGTATTGCATCGCTAAACCCTAAACCCTAAACCCTAAACCCTAAACCCTAAACCCTAAACCCTAAACCCTAAACCCTAAACCCTAAACCCTAAACCCTAAACCCTAAACCCTAAACCCTAAACCCTAAACCCTAAACCCTAAACCCTAACCCTTGCAGTATATTGAAAGTATAGCCTTTTTGGGCCAGGGTACTCAGCAACTAGGATCCCGTGGAGCTGAACCCATAAAAAACCCACCAAGGAATGTCCAAGGCTTGCATCATCCCTAAACCCCATAAACCCTAAGCCCTATAAACCCTACAAACCTTAATTATGAGCGTCTTGATTGCGTCCTGCTACCGGATGACGGTGGGCTATAAACCCTAGAAACCCTAGAAACCCTAGCAACCCTAGAAACCCCAAGCCCTATAACCCCTCCAATCGTTGACCTCAGGTCCGGGCGCGCTTTTCGGAGTCCAACGAGCTCGGCGGCTTCCTTGAAGGCCAGTGCCTGATTTCTCGTGGCGCTTCCTACTTCACCGACCCGAGTTTGTGCATGGTTTTTGGCATCCAACACCTTCTTGATCGGGTTCGCGCAGTCAGGGTTTCGCCTATACGCTTTCCACGTTGCCCTAGAAGTTCCAAGGGCCATGCTCTATGCTGAACTTGCACCAGATCGAACTGTCAACCTATGACATAGTCAGAAGCATAAACTCGACTCTTCTGCCGGTCACGCCGCACGTATTGTAATAGGCAGGCAACTCCAACCCAGCGAGTGCACTGTGAACTAGCCATTGGAGATCGCACGCAGACCGACAGACAGACGTGGAGCAAGAAACGCAGGAGAGTCACCAAGTAGGGCACAAGCTCGCGTTGTTAACGCTGCAAGGCTACCTCACGTGCCTACAGCTGGATTCCTTCTTCAGCAAGGGGGCTGCCGCCTGAGTATTCTGAATTATTCGAGGCTGGCAGCTTTAGAGCTTTTCTGGTGTGGCTCTTTGTAGATGACCACACACTTTGGAAGCTCACCCCTTCCCACAGCTTCTTGCATGGAATCTTGATTTGCCCTGCCTGAAGCTCAGCACCTCTGATTTCTCTTCGTTTCGACTCTTCAGGTCCTGACGGCGCCGTGGCCGCAGGTCTGCTCTTCATTACTCTAAGCTGAAGCCAGGGTAAGTGGAAGAAGTCGGGCAACACACAGTCTATTATTAGGGCTTCATGTGATAGGTTTTTTATATTTGGTGGCTGCAGTATCTCTCCTTGTCTCTCTATCTCTCTCTGTCTCTCTCTCTCTCTCTCTCTCTGTGATAGATGAAGTCGGGGTTTTACTTTGAGGTTCGCAGACGGGTTCAATTACAGCTTCGGGTCCCAGAAAGCTTAACAGCAAAAACTCCGATGAAGTAGAGGGCCCTGGTATCGGTCGAGTTCCATGCGTACAGAGACTCGCACCCAAAGCAGGACTGGAGAACTGGCATTGACAACGTCGATGATGAGAGGCCACAGTGTATCACATGCACGAGGGATGGGTCATCAGTGTTTTTTGGGACTGGCGTCTGTAACATCTGACCCCACTAGGCTGGAGTGCCAGCTTCCCCCACCCTAAACCCCGAACCCACACCACCAAAGCTGAGAGGTATCTCTTGAGCCTCGTGGGCGCTGTGCGCGAGCTGGAGCGCTATGCAATCGGCCGTGCACGCGCTGGGGTCTTAGGAGTCTTCAGCTGAGAAAGGCCGTATTCACCTTGCGGAAGCTTTCTTCAGGAAAAGGGAACACACACACACACACACACACACACTCACAGCTACATGTATATATATATATGTTTGTATGCATATGTATATGTATATCTATATACATATATATATATACATACTTGTATTTGTATTTATATTGATATATTTCTACTTTACCTATACTCATATCTAAATTTATATTTCTATTTATACGCATATACATGTGCGTACTACGTGCGAAAAACTTCCACGAACAAACAAGTATGAATCCATATATATATATATACATATTAATGTGTATGTATACATGTATGCACACCAAAGTCTTAACATAATAGCAGCTGGCATAAGCAGTTTTCTGGGTAATGGCTTCAAGGTCCTTGACCTGACATCCATCCGCGTCGCCTGGAGGGCCGCGTCCTCCCGCCAGAGATTGCTGTTATTGGGGCAGGGGTTCATTGCAAAACGGTACTTGTGGATGACCCTCTAGAGTCAGGACACCACAGACCCACGGATGGAGGTTTGAACAGGCCTTTGGTCAGTGAGCCTAGGCTCTTGGCTGAAGTTCAGGGCTTCTTAAAGTAATTTGAGGTTTTCTGGTTTGGCAAGACCTCGAAGATATCCACGCCAGTTGTCTCCTCAGGCCCTCCACCTCTCAGCTGCTACTCCTTCAGGCCCGAAGCCTTCTTTCGTGAAGGACAAAAGGTGACAGAGAGTATCTCCCTGCTACAGTAAGCCCTTGACCACAAGGGCCCAAGGTTAACTCTTGCCAGGCAATGTGTCGAGCAAGCGATGCTCCAGCCGGTGCCTGTGCTTCGGTTTTCGAGACGGAGAGAGGACCTAGATGCCGATAGCTTCATTTCACAAAGGAGGCTGAAACCTTGCAACGCTAAATCCTGACTACGCCCACCCCAGCGTCGGACACCCCCAAACCTAAGACCCTCAAGACAGTTCTCTTCTTGGTTCTTGCACACCTAGAACCCCTTAACAAGGGCCTATATAGGGTTGATTATGGGGTTTATTTGGCTTATTCGCCCATCCTGGCAGGCAGCGCAATTTCTAGGAACTTCAAGGGTTGCCGATGAGCAGGTATGGTGCTGTGATGGTTTGAGAGCTGGAGAAACAGCATTGTCAGGCTTCACACAACAGCACGAGTCGACCTGTCAACTCAGCTCGCTCTGTCGCCGCACGTCCCGCCGCCTGCGCAGCCTTTTGGCTGAAAGTAATTCGAGCTGCGCGATCGCTGCGCTGAAGTTAGGCAAGGAGAGTGCACTCATCGCCGCTTGGGCTTTGAGATACTGGAGCCCAATGCCTGTTCAGGAATCGACCTTAAATTATATAGGAATCCTTTATGGGATTTAAGGTACATTCCGTATTTCAGGGGTAGTGGGCTCTTCGGTATGGTGAAGCGGGCACAGTGTGGCTAGTCAGCTCGAATCTCACCTGCTTCACGCCCTTTAATTTTCGTGACAAGGGGCAGTTGGTCATGGTGCCAGGTGCTAGAACTGCTCGCCTTAATTCTCTACAGCGACTGCCCTGTTAACACTGGAGCAACCCCTCCGCCGTCCCATCCAACACCGCATGAATGGCATTCCACATTTCAAGCACACATGCACATAGACCCTGGCAAGCAACAAGGCGTGCATGTCATCTAAGGCGCGCCTAATTGGTGCTTGGGAGGAATGACCGCCAAGCAGGCGGGCCGCTGGAAGGTCTGATTGTAGTCTCACAGCAGGCTCGCCGGTTTCTTCTTGAAGGACTGCGGGGAAGATGTTCGAGATTTATATTCAGGTTTGGAGCGGCTGCTGGCAGAAGTTCGAGAGCGCGCACACGCTTAGTGCTGGATTCGTCCATTCTCTGATCTGCTGCAAGTAGATTCGATCAGGTGTCATCACACTGCAGTGTCAGGCATCAGCTACACACGTAGTGGTCGTAGTGTGGAGATAAGGTGCTTGAACAGCAAGAAACCACACTTTCAGGGCCAGGCATCACCGACAACAGTGGCAGCAAGAAGGGGTGCCCAGAGAGCAAAAACACTCCTTAATTCAGGAATATGCCTTAACAACTGTAACGGGGATCCTTGTTCTGATCTAAGGAATATCCCTAAGCCCGAAACCCGAAACGAAACCCGAAACCCGAAACCCTAAGTAAGGTGTGTTGGGCCTTTTCGGGTAGCTCCACGTGCTTGGCCAGCTGGCAGGTGACGAATGTCGTGTTTGCTATGCTTCCATGCCGAGATACTTGTCGCATCCAGGGAGAAGCCCCCTTAGGGTTTAGGGTTTAAGGTCAGCCAATGGGGCACCTATCCTTATACAGAGGGACCCTCAAACGGCCATGCAAGCGAACCCTGAGGGAGCCGGAAGCATACTATTTCGAGTGGTGTTTTGAAGATATCTTGGTAGCCCAGTGGTACCCTTTTTTCTTTTTTTTGTTTACGCTTCCCTTAGAAATGAACCAACCAAAAAAGGGTGCCCTTATCATAATATGGTTACTGGGGTACCAAGATATTGCAAGCATGACTCCGTGGAGCATCCGCCTCTCCATTTGTCCTGTCGGTTTCTCTAGCTGGGAACGGCTGCATTAAGTTATAGTCTAAGGTAGTTTCACGGTCCCTGAATATGTTCCCTTACCTTGTGTAAAGGGTTCTGCAGTATGGGCCCTTGGGTGTACAGGGTATATAATTAGGGGGTCCCGAGGGCCCATCCTCAGGTTACTAAGGGACCACGTGACTACACTAAGATATAAGTGCATGCAAGGATGACGTGGACCACACGCTGGAGATCATGAGAAACTTCGGCGAGGCTAGCGCCGATATATGACCTTGATATGCTCAAGCTGAGCAGCGGGCTCACTGTTTCGGGTTTTGGTTTCAGTACCCCAGAGGCTACCAAGGAGGAAACCTGTGTGGTCCTTGAACTGCGATCCAATCTTATGACAATGTTTCCCCTCAACTCGCCCAACGAAAAGAGTACAGTAAGGAACGAAGCCAGGAACCCAACAATCCTCTCAAACCCTAAACCCCTAAACCCTAAACCCTTTCTGTGCAGGTCGGAGCCTGCAAGGTTTGGGAGGACGCAGACGGCCTGCTTGAAGTAGCTGCCTGCCTTCTTTGGATGACATTGCTGTAGCTCGAACAAGCCTGTAGGTCACATCTTGGTTTGCCATGGAAGCTGTGGTGGTGAGGGCTCCTTGAAATACTTTGAGAACAGAAGGCCGTGTTTATATATATATATATAGATATTTATGTTGACACACATACCTACAGTGCACTCTTGTTTTTTTTTTGGGGGGGGACGTGAGTCAGGCATACTACGACGTCCGAGCTGCTGAGCGGGCATTGGAAGAGCTCGGGGAGACAAGGCGACCACTTAGGGTTTTAGGGTTTTAGGGTTTAGGGGTTTAGGGAGTTTAGGGGATTTAGGGGGTTTAGGTGGTTAGGGGTAGGGGTGATATGTTCGACACCCTTACTTTTGAACTACGCCCCTCTGAAAAATCCCCTCGTCCGCCAAGCCAGAACCCCCCCCCCCCCCCCCCCCCGGCCACCACCACCACCCAGGCCCAGGCCACCACCACCACCCAGGCCACCACCACCACCACCCAGGCCACCACCACCACCACCACCCAGGCCACCACCACCACCACCCAGGCCACCACCACCACCACCACCACCACCACAAAAAAGGGGGTCCTAAATTTCCTATCGGAGCCAGAAAGAGCCCAAGCTCGAGGGATTGGAAAGAATCAAGCTTCAGCTTTAGTTCCCCTAAGAGACTGACAACTAATCCTAAACCCTAAACACTAAACCCAGTTGCTCAGACTCAGAGACAGCTCTGTGTAAACACTAAACCCATCTTACGAGTTTTTAAGGGATCCCTAAACCCTAAACCGTAAAGCCAGTTTACGAGTTTTCTTGGGATCCCGGCCCCTGCTTTTTAGAGTGCAGCCAACCTACAGGTGCTGGCGGGCCCAACCATGCGGAAACCGTGGACTTGGCAGCACTGGAGAGCTGTAGCAGACCTGCCCAGAGAGCCCGCTAATTATATACCTCAAGTTCATAGTTAAGGGATCCTTAGTACGGTTTAAGGGTATGCTCCTTATTTAGCGGGGTCTAGAGGGCTCGTTGGGTGGTTTATAGGGCTTAGGGTTCACATGCCGAAGTAAGTGGTTACACATCCCATCCCGGTGGAATCAGCGAATCGATACAAGCCAGGGTTTAGGGTTCAGAGAGGGGGGGTTTAGGGTTTAGGGTCGAGTTCTTTCACTTACACGATCTTGCACGTCGTGAGTATGGCCGAGTTGTCACGCTTCGGATAGTGTCTAGAGAAGTTTCGGAGGGGCTGCTCGCATAGTGTGAGTTGATCGCACACCCGATACCGGCCTGCTGCTGTACGAGTCATGTTGGAAAAAGGGTTTAGGGTCGAGGGCCCTTTTTTGAGACTCTCTGGACTCCCCCCATGCAAGAGCCCAGGCATCGTTCGGCTTCCAGGCTGCCGAGTGGATTCACGGGTGTGTTTGGTGAGTCTGTACATTGTACATGTGTGTATGTATATCTGTATGTGCATATGTAATATATATATATATATATATAGATAGATATAATTTTATATTGTGTATTTGTACATGCGTATGTGTATGCATATATAATAATTGTGTGTATATATATACACATATTTATATAATCTACACGTAGCTTTTAGAGAGAGGTTGTTGTGCGTTTGCTGGATAGAAAGTCTTCTTGTTTCAACGCGTGAAGCCAAGTCGTCAAGAGCTGTTTCACCGAACCCATGCTCTTCTGGGTCCTTGGTGTTCTTTTGTTTGTGATGCTGCTCCTAGGCTAAACTGCTAAATCCTAACCCCTAAGATCCTCTTGCCAGGATCAGCAGGCCTTGACAGGGCCGTTGTTGGGCAGATCCGGGACATGTTCGTGGACGAGATGGATGACAACTACTACATCCTCGAGCCGCTCATTTCCCACGTGATCGTATGACCCTAAACCCTGAACCCTGAACCCTAAACCCTACAAACCCTAAACCCTGGATGATCCCATTGTTCAATTTGCTAGCTATTCTGTCGGGTGTGTTGCCGGCCTTGCACAGATACTCTGCGTATGGGGGTTTACCATATTCGGGGTCCCTTGCTGGGGTCCTGATTATTATATGGGGGTCGTACTATTTGGGGATCTTTATGTTTATTGGGGCCTATTTGGTTAACCCCCCATGTTTGTTTCCAGGGGCAAACCAGACGCATTCGCAAGCGACCCTTCCAGCAAGACGAAACAAAGCTTCAAGGCCCTGGTCCCTCTAAACCCTATAGACTCTATTAAGACCCTATACATCTCAGTTAAAAGAAAAGCGATATCAACCCTACGTATCTAAACCTTATACATCATATATACATGTATATATATATGTGCAAGCTTATATATACATATATACATATACATATATATATATATATATAATTGTCTATACCTTCAACGATTCTCAGGTTTTTCGATGTCCGCGATGCGGCAGAGCAGAGGCAGCTTGTTGCGCCGGAGACGACCGAAAAGTTGCGGGATGAATGGCATCCGCGCCCTCTCCAGGCTTGCGGTTGGGTCGACCCACTTTGCGTGTTGTGTAGGTAGGGTTTCCATAAGAAACCGGCTTATGGTTCAGGATGCAACAGGATATCTTTGTACACAAAAAAACTGTTTCAATGAGTGTTAAAGTAAACAAAAGGGGTTTCGGCAAGAGCTTCAGGGCCTGCTGCAAAAGCGTTTTGGCTTCCGGGCTTAGGGGGCTCACTAAAGGGTTTCGGGTAAGCCTGGCTTCCACAGAAGGGATCAATATGCAGCCCGCAAAAGACTCCAAAAACCAAACCGTCAAGAAGCAGGGTAGAACCCCCAAAACCCTAAACCCTAAACCCTAAACCCTAAACCCTAAACCCTAAACCCTAAACCCTAAACCCTAAACCCTAAACCCTTGGCTGGTTGCACTAGCGTGACCTGCTGCCGCAGAGAGTGCTTGCAGAAACCCTAAACCCCAGCCTGCACACGCAAGGCTGACGCACCCGAGATGCCACGAATGCCAGAAATGCCACGCATGCCCGAGATGCGCCAGATGGCAGTGACTTGCCAGCACGGAGGTGGACCAAGGCTGGGCTTTTTTGGGTTAGGGTTTAGGGTTTAGGGTTTAGGGTTTAGGGTTCAAGAGCTCTTGGTCGAGCAGTTCCTCGTTTAGGCTCTGTGTTTAGAACATCGAAAAATACCCACCCACCCGAAGTTCCCATAACATTAAGAAATAAAAAGTTTCTTCTTTTTATTAGGATGGTTTAATAACAAAATGAATGGCTTCCACTTAACAAACGAGGAGGTGGAGATACTAAACTACGCGAGGCTTTGAGGTGAGGCCTTGAAACCCTAAACACAGGCCCTGAGGCCTTGAAACCCTAAACGCTGGGTGAGGCCTTGAAACCCTAAACACTGGGCCCTGGGCCCTGAGGCCTTGAAACCCTAAACGCTGGGCCCTGAAACCCTAAACGCAGGCCATGAGGCCGTGAAACCCTAAACACAGGCCCTGAAACCTTGAAACCCTAAACGCCGGGCCCTGAAACCCTAAACACAGGCCCTGAGGCCCTGAAACCCTAAACACAGGCCCGAGGCCCTTGAAACCCTAAACACAGGCCCTGAAACCCTGAAACCCTAAACGCAGGCCCTGAAACCTTGAAACCCTAAACACTGGGCCCGGAAACCCTAAACACAGGCCATGAGGCCCTGAAACCCTAAACACAGGCTTTGCCTGAAACCTTTAAACACAGGCCCTGAGGCCCTGAAACCCTAAAAAACAGGCCCTGAGGCCTTGAATGGGCCCTGAAACCCTAAACACAGGCCCTGAGGCCCTGAAACCCTAAACACAGGCCCTGAGGCCTTGAAACCCTAAACGCTGGGCCGTGAAACCCTAAACACAGGCCCTGAGGCCTTGAAACCCTAAACACAGGCCCTGAAGCCTTGAAACCCTAAACGCTGGGCCCTAAAACCCTAAACTCAGGCCCTGTGGCCCTGAAACCCTAAACACAGGCCCTGAAGCCTTGAAACCCTAAACGCTGGGCCCTGAAACCCTAAACACAGGGCCCTGAGGCCTTGAAACCCTAAACACAGGCCTGAGGCCTTGAAACCCTAAACGCTGGGCCGTGAAACCCTAAACACAGGCCCTGAGAGGCCTTGAAACCCTAAACGCTGGGCCCTGAAGCCTTGAAACCCTAAACGCTGGGCCCTTGAAACCCTAAACACAGGCCCTGAGGCCCTGAAACCCTAAACACAGGCCCTGAGCCCTTGAAACCCTAAACGCTGGGCCCTGAAACCCTAAGCACAGGCCCTGAGGCCTTGAAACCCTAAACACAGGCCCTTAGGGTCTCAAGGGCATTTTTGGGCCTTGGGCCTTGCCCACGAATTTTTCGGCCTTGCCCACGGATTTTTGGGCCTTGCCCATGACGAATATTTGGGCCTTGCCCACGAATATTTGGGCCTTGCCCACGATGGGCCTTGCCCACGAATTTTTGGGCCTTGCCCACGAATTTTTGGGCCTTGCCCACGATCCAACAGGCCCAAAAATTCGTGGGCAAGGCCCAAAAATCCGTGGCCAAGGCCCAAAATCAGGATTTTGGGCCTTGCCCACGAATATTTGGGCCTTGCCCACGAATCTTTGGGCCTTGCCCACGAATATTTGGGCCTTGCCCACGAAGACCATTAAGGTTTATAATTATATGGTAGGAGGGGTTTAGGGTTTAGGGTTTAGGGGTTAGGGGTTAGGGGTTTGGGTTTTGGGTTTTGGGTTTAGGGCTTAGGGTTTAGGGCCCCAACACACCCAGAACACCAGAGGCAATGCCCAACGTTGCTGCGAGCTGGTGGCAGCAGTGGCCAGACTCTCGCTCTTGATTTGCAGGTCCTAAACCCTAAACCCTAAACCCTAAACCCCAACCCCCTAAACCCTAAACCCTAACCCTAAACCCCAAACTGTGTTCAAGGTGTGTCTGCTACATGGGGGTTCTGAGATGTCAGCGGGTCCTGGGCCTCCATGATTCAGCTCCCACCTTGTTTTAAACGCTCAGTTGTGCCTTGGGATATTTGGACGTCCCTTAGTAGCCCAGTAATGCCCTTTACCCTTTTTTTGGGGGGTTCTGGTTTCCCTTATAAAATACCCAAACCAAAAAAGGGTGCCCTTATTATAATGTGGTTACTGGGCGACCAAGATCTTCATTCTTCCCTTATTTGGGTTTAGAAGGGGCCCCATACATCCCGAGGACAAGCAGACCAGGGGACCGGGAGACCAACAAAAGCGCCCCCCCCCCCCCCCCCCCCCAACAAAAAGAAAGAAAGAAAGAAAGAGAAAGTCCTGAAGAAAAAAGGCCCTCCGTTTCCAAACGATTCTTATGCATTGAAGAAAGCTTGCGCGGCTTAAGAAGCCTGCTTCTCCTTCCCTGCTTCCTTCCTTCCGTCCGTCCTTCCTTCCGTCGACATATTTTGGGGGTTCCAGAGGTTCTCCATTTCCCCCGAGATTTGAAGCAACAAAACAAGTGGCCGAGGACAATGGTGCCCTGATGAGCGTTGCCGAGGAAGCGTTAGCGCAGCCTTTCGGCTGAGCGTGGACGGTTACGGTTAGCTGCGGTCAGAGATTGCTTGGGGCAGCAGTTCGGTACCCTAAACCCCGAACCCTGAACCCTGAGCCCCAGACCCCAAGGTATGCTTTTCATACAGGTGCTCAGGCTTTGGAGGCAGGGGTTTAGGGCTTAGGGTGTAGGGCGTAGGCTGTAGGGTGCAGGGTTTCTGCTTGAGGAGGCAGTGACTCTTCGAAAGCCCCGAGGCCGGCCAAACTTGAGCCCTTGGCGGGCCCCAGAAGAAACCAGCACTTTCCTCGCATAGAAGCTTCGAAACCCTGAACCCTGAAACCCCCAGAAGCAGCCGAACCTGAAACCCTAGAACCCTAGAACCCTAGAGCCCTTAAACCCTTAAACCCTTTAACCCTACCCTGAAACCCTTAAACCCCTAAACCCTAAAACCAGGGGCGGGGATGGGTTTTACTTGCTCTGTGTTCCCTCCTTGTGGCCCATACGACTGCTTGGCTTGGGCTCATCATTTGTCGACTAAACCCTAAACCCACCCCAAGAGAGCCCGAGGATGGGAATGATCGCGCCAGGGACCTTCCTCGTGCTGCTGCAAGGTGGGCCTGCGAGGGCTTCCTGGAGGGGGGTTGATAGGGTTTGTAGGGTTTATAAGGTTTTTAGGGCCTTTAGGGTTTATAGGGTTTATAGGGTTTATCGGGTTTCTAGGGTTTATCGGGTTTCTAGGGTTTATAGGGTTTATAGGGTTTATAGGGTTTATAGGGTTTATAGGGTTTATAGGGTTTGCAGGGTTTGTAGGGTTTGTAGGGTTTATAGGGTTTATGGGGTTTAGGGTTTAGGCCTAAACCCCTGGAGCTCAGCACCGGGTTCAAGGTTTAGGGCTCTTTGGGCTTAGGGTGTTGGAGCTTTAAGGCGTTTCGGGTTTAGCCCAGTGGTACCATGTTCCCTTGTTTGGTTCAAGGTTCCCTTATAAAATAACTATGAAAAAGGACGGCTGAGCCCTGACTGCCGTTTCAATGATTGCGCGTCTTGGCAGGCGTTCCAGGCGAGCTGCTGAACGACAGCTGTGTGGCCCGGAGAATGAGACGTTGTGCGTGTTACCAGCAACAGTGCTTGCCAACACTCCTGATCTAGGTTGGTTTTTGTGACATTTGTTATTTTCCTTATTTGGGTTGATTAGCTGCTTGCTTTTGGCAGTCTCCCAGAAGGTTGGAGGAGTGAACCTTAAATCAGTGCCTACCCACTAGAGCACCCTTGGACTCCCAGAAACTCGTCGATCCCCAGGATTGACAACTAAACATGACCTTGACCCTATAAAGCCCTAAAGCCCTAAGCCCTAAACCCTAAACCCTAAACCCTAAACCCTAAACCCGCTATAAAGCCCCAAGAATGCCCTAAGCTTCTGAGCTGCAAAGATCCCTGAAGCGGGTTGCATCCGAGGTGGAGGCCATCCTGGAGCAGGCGGACTCTGAAACATTCTTTTTGGGGTTTAAGGTTTGGGGTTTGGGGTTTAGGGTTTAGGGTTTAAGGTTTGGGGTTTGGGGCTTGGGCTTTGGGGTTTGGGGTGAAGGGTTTAGCCTTTGGCTGTTCTGAGCGCCAAGCCAACAAGACTGCACGAAGGTGAAACCATCAAAAGTTGCATCAAGGGCCTGATTCGAAGCCCTGTGGAGAGGCCGGCCTCTCGGAGGATGTCGCCAAGCTTCCTGCCGGACGGATTAAGCTTGCGTTTGTGCTTGCCGTGATTGTCGGGTCTAGCAAAAGCGGTTGCCTTTGAGTTACCACTTGATGTTGAGAGCTTGTTCGCTAGGTACAGTTTCGCAATCGTCATGAGTTTCGTGCAATCCGGGACGTTCGCCGGGTGCGAGTGTGAGAGTCGACTCCGCTCCAGCTACGGAGTTTGGCCCAGTGTGTAGGGATTGTTTCGGAAACCACTTCAGTGCCTACTACTAAACTCTGTCAACCAGTTTAACAAGGGTCGGTTGCTTCACCGAGGGCGCAAGCCATCAGATCACAGCAGATTACGGTAACCTTGAGGGGCCGTAACGTGTGAGGGTTTAGGGTTTAGGGTTTGGGGGAGGATGGTCAGTGCTGGAAGATGTCGGTGCTTTTTCGGGGCCCATGTGTGTGCATGCTCCAGGCAAGAGGAAGTGCAAGTTCGTCGGGTGCTTGCTGAAAGCAATGGGACTGTCGCTTAAGCACGTTCGTTGTGATATGCCTTTTGTCGCGGTTTGCTGTGATGTGAAGGCGTTTATGAATGTCGTTGGAATGTTGCTTGTTGCATGCACGTGTTCTCATTCGCATCTATACGGGCTGCAATATGTGAACGTACAGTGGGGTGGAAAGGGGGTCCACTCCTCCTCCACCCACCCCCTAAAACCCCCACCCCCAGACCCGAAACACTAAACCTTATTACGTGCGAAGTACCGGGGAGCTTAAAAACAAACTCAGCGGGACCCGAGGTTCACGATCCACGAGAAAGTGAACCTGCGGGGTCCCAACCTCGGATCCCTGAGGACGTTTCGGGTTTAGGGTTTAGGCAAAAGGGCGCGCTGAGACAAGCCTGTGCAAAAAGGGTTTAGGGTTTAGGGTTTAGGGTTAGGGTTTAGGGTTTAGGGTTTGTTCAACCCCCTCAGCCCGAATCTAGGACCCAGACTAGGCCCTTACAGTATTCCTTTTTTTAAGGGTTTTGGTTCCCTTACAAGCCCCTTTAAACCAACAAGGGTACTCTTTGTATTCCTTGGTACCCTTTGTATTCCTTGGTTACTCTTGGGCCGAGTATTTCATTACCCTTAACCCTAGAACCCTAAATCTGAATTTTCTGCACTTAAGCCTTTGAACCCTCAACCTTAACTTATTACCCTTAACCCTAGAACCCTAAACCTGAATGTACTACCCTTAACCCCAAAACCTGAATTTACTCCTAAACCTTAGTTTACTCATGCAGGGTTTTCCCTAAACCCTAAACCCTGAACCCTAAACCGGTTAGAATTCCTTCAGAGGGTTTAAACGGGCCAACCTGGGATTGGGTTGACGAAAACAGGGAACCCTAAACCCTAGTATAGACCCCCTAATATTAGGATTCCCTTATAATGCGGACCCCAAAAAGGTACCCCTACTTTCGGAAACCCCCATGTGTGTATGCCAGGGTTTAGGGTTGAGGGTTTCGGGCGCAACCTTCCAAAGCCTGCTGCAAAAAGGGTTTAGGGCGCGGGGGCCTTCTCCCGGCATTCAGCAAGCCCCGGGTTCAAAAACAGAGGTTTACTGTGCTACATGTAACTACCTGCATAAAGATATGTATGTACACGTCAGATAGACGGCGTGATTGTTTCTGGAGGTTCCCCTCCAGATGCCAGGCTGTAGATCCCCCGCACAAGCCTACCCAGGTCAAACCCTAAACCCTAGCTCGGGCTCTCTCAGCCCTCTGAGGGATCAAGAACGGAACAGGTGATTCCCGAAACTGTCTCAACTTTCATGGGGGGGGGGGGGCAATTGCCTTCCTGTTTTCTGCAATACATGCCCGTTTTGACCCTGAACCCTTTAAACCTTTTGAATTCGCCACAATGTCACGTGGCTCCCCACCCCTAAACCCTAAACCCTAAACCCTAAACCCTCAACCCTAAACCCTAAACCCTAAACCCTAAACCCTAAACCCTAAACCCACTCTATTGCTGAGGCTGCTGTACGCTGAACCTGCTTTCCGAACCTGGGGTGTACCGATGCCTGAGCCACTTCGCAGGCCGGGCCATTGAGCCCAACCATGGTCATAGCCATTGCAATATATTAAGATGTGTATATATATATATATATATCCATACATATATATATATACCACATACATACATAACATACATAATATGGAAATATATAATCTAGTCTAGGCAAAAAGCAATACGTGTATGTATAGATAGTATCTATGTATACGTATAAATCTGGTATTATATAATATGCTACGTCATATCCTAGCAGGCATCGCCAAAGATGGCTGAGGTGCGAGGCAGAAAGCCGCCTTGAAATTAGCCACAGGCCATGCCTCTAGCAACTTTCAAGCCACCCGCAAACCCGCTAATACAAACCCGATAGTTGCCTCTTCAGAGCAAGCTTTGGATGGGCCCCCTAAACCCTAAACCCCTAAACCCCTTCTTTTGCTTCTGCAACACCAACTGCCAAGCCTCCAGAATCGACGCCTTGACAGGCTGTTGTTGGGGATGTCGCGCGACACTGGTGGCTTGGGTTTTTGTTCTTCTTCCTAGGTGTTGGCTTGGGAGGTGGGACCCTAAACCCTAAACCTGCCTGTGCGCGAGCGTGAGAGTCGAAACCCGAACCTAAACCCTAAACCAGAGCTCACTTTCAGTGTGAAGGGCCCGTGTCAGCACTTCTAGTCTAGTGTCAGTTTCTTACTTCGCCTTTAGTTGAACTTTAAACTTCTTGGGTTTCCTTGTTCAGTAGGAATATTATAATAGTTTTATGCTGACATCGACACCAAGGTGTATGGCGAGCTGTCGATGCAAGGTTGCTTCCCAGCGTCGAATCTCGGACTGGGTTTAGGGTTTAGGGTTTAGGGCTTAGGGCTTAGGGCTTAGGGTTTGAGTTTAGGGTTTAGGGCTTAGGGCTTAGGGCTTAGGGTTTAGGGTTTAGGGTTTATAGAGAGGAGGGAGGAGGAAAAGCAGATGTCCGGCTGGACAAAGTCCTTGTCAGCCCTGCTTAGGTGGGTGGTGCAGATGTAGGCTTCGGATGTTGCTAATGCAGCAAAGGAACGGCGATGGCATGGCTGCTTGGCTACTGACCCCGCGTGCAATATGTCACTGTCCATGCATACCTTGTTTCGTTCTACGCCAGTCACCCCATCCTATACCCTGAACCTGCCCAGGCCTCAGATGAGTACAACTACGAGCAAGCAGAGGCTGACTGGCCAAAACTGGAGTGACTTGCTTGCAAAGTCCTCTCAGGACCCAAGCACATCAACAGACGCCCAAAACCCTGCACCGCCGGAAGACCGAGCCAATCCACGGAATGATATCCACCGCACGGGAGCAGCCCCGCTTTCTTCCGAAAACCGGAAACACACAAGAACCCACTCCCAAGCCACCCACAGACAAGGGCCGGAGGAAGCTTTGCTGGCCGCACGTGGATCTTCGACGAGGTGCATATGGTGTCGCCAGTGATACTTCACTAGTTGTGTAGGGCTTACTGTAGGGTTTCGGGCTTCACTTTGTGGTCAAGTCTTGGGGCCGTAAGACGTTACTTGGAGGTAGGACATTGGTAACCCAAGACTTTCAGTACTTATAACCCAATTATAATCATATTAGGGCACTTAAGGGGCTTATAAGTGGGTTATCAGTACAGTTGCAATTGGCTAATCAGTACCATGCTCCAAGTAGACGACACCAACGGTCCCAGCCTGCTTATACCCTAAATGCGAAATCCCTCCCCGCAGGCTGTGAACACGACTATCCGCAGCCAAGCACCAGCAGCTGCGCCGAAGGAGGTCCGTGCGAATTCCAGGGTCAACCACTCAACCATTCCTTGGTTTGTTTCAGGATTAAGCAGATAAGCAGATGTCCGTGATACTGGAGATGCGGAGATTGGACAGAATAACTTGGTTTAGGGTTTAGGGTCCCCGCTAAAGTCAATGTTGTCCTTTCCCCCAAAGCGGTACATTATTCCAATCACAATCCCCTCTCTTTGGTTCCATCGGGCCGGGTCTGTCCCCGGGCGGCCATAATGGTAGAATTCACTAATCATGGGGGTCCGAGGGCAACTGGGAATCGAGCCCTACACCTCCAACCTCTCATATATCTTCAACGACCTCCCCACCCAGCAAAGCTACGAGAGCCCGCAGAAGCAGTTGGGAACGCCTAGCACTAGCACCCTTCCAAACCCTAAGACCCTCAACCCCTAAGCCCTAATCCCCCAAACCCTAAACCCCAAACCCTAAACCGCTAAACCCTAAACCCCTAAACCCTAAACCCTAAACCCCAAACCCTAAGCCCCTAAATCAAGTCCTGCGAACCCGCCTCGGACAGGCGCAGCCCACCTCAGAAGCGAGTACCGACCTCAGCGAGTCGGACGACGACATGATGTCCAAGCTGCAGGCAACGTTTCGGGTTTAGGGTTTAGGGTTTGGGGTTTAGGATTTAGGATTTAGGGTTTAGGGTTTAGGGGTTTCCCTCACTTTTTAGGGCTTAGGGTTTGGAAACAAGCATCTTAAGTCCCGATTGTTTTTGCGTTAAAGGTTTAAGTGGCTGCTGATGGTCTGGGTTCCCAAGAAAAGGGATGTGATTTGCACACATGGGAGCATCTTCTGCCGCCGGGGGTTGCTAGTCCTCTTGCAGGCCAAAGTCGGTTGCAGCTACTCTCTGGGGGAAGGGTCTAGGGTTTGGGGTTTAGGGTTTTAGGGTTTTGGGGTTTGGGGTTTTAGGGTTTGGGGTTTGGGGTTTTAGGGTTTTAGGGTTTTAGGGGTTAGGGTTAAGGCCAGTGCCACTCGAACAGGCCCACAAAGGCAGGCCAAAGGTGCACAAAGGCAGCCTCATGGGTTCGTTCCCTTGAGGCTTTTCTTGGTAGGTGCGGTGGTATCACTTGCCCTTTTGTTGGCGTTCAAGGATCCCTTCCAAAGTAACCAACCAACCCGCAGAAGGCTTATGAACAATTTAGTTGCTGGGCGAGCTGCGTGAAGGTGTGAGGGTGTACGCGGATTCAGGGCTGGGCTGGGTTGGGCTCGGGTCTTGAGATTTGATTAAGTTGGAGGATTCGGGTGCAGGCATTGAGGTCCAGGTCTCAACAAGCGGCACGCAAGCACCAACAAAGGATGTGCCAACTAAGCCTATACCCTCAACCCTGAACCGAACGGTAGCTCAGCCCGGTCCAGGGCAGAGCACCACACCTACTCTCTCTGTCTTCCACAAGAAGCTGAAGACAGCGCTGCACGGCCCTCTGATGGGGGGATGGCCAAGGATGCAGCAAGGGCCCGCTCTCAGGAGCGCAGGGTTCCCCCAGAGCCAGAAATGCTAAAACCCTGAAAGCCTGAAACCCTAAAAGAGGGCTTTTCTAAAAAAAAAAAACATGCTTATAAACAACCCTCTTTGAAAGCCTGAAACCCCAAAAACGACCCAAGCGCAATAGCAAAACAGGAGCTCCAAACTCCCAGGGCCCTAAACCCTAAACCCTAAACCCTAAACCCTACATCCTAAGCTGCCCCAAAAGAATATTTTGTGCTGCCTGCCGAGGCCGCCAAGCGACGAGGCTCTGGGATGCTTTTAAAGTTCCAAAGTCCTAGGGGTTTTAGGGTTTAGGGTTTAGGGTTTAGGGTTTAGGGTTAGGGATTTAGGGGGAGGGGGGAGGGGGGGACAAAGTCAGCTCGAGAAGGGCTTGCTCCCAGCACTATTTGTCCTAAAAAAGGTTTCCAACTCTTGGGGGTTTACTGTACCTTCAGGCAACAGGCCCGTCCAGTAATCAAACACCGTTTGCCGCGCAGTTGTCCTGCTTGCAAGGCGGCCATCGGTTCCAGACGTACAGCAGATTCAAATTTTATTTTCATGGCCAGCCAAAACTTGGGCTGGATGCATATCGGGACCAAGAATCCTTGGATTCCTGAAGGGGTAGAAGACTGTTGCGACGGCATTGAAGAGGTGCCTGTTGAAACAGCAGATCTGACACCACACATCCCGTCGAGAAGACGAGGGGAAACCTGTTGATGTTGGGCCTGGCTGGGGCCGGCGTCGCAATGCGACAGGGCTGGCTTGAGTGCATGCGCTGGTGCATCGTGCTTCCGCCCACGGCTTTTAGGCGCCATGCAGCCTTGACATTCACCATTCTTATGAAGCATGGACTGAGTGCTGACATGGCGGGAGTTCGGCGACCAGCCTGAGCATTGAATTCGTTCCTACATTCAGATTGGCGCAATGCTGGCAGGGAGCGCGGCGCCTTTCCACGAAAAGGCAGCGCCGTCAAGTCAGCCCAGGTGAGCAGAGGAAGAGCATCACAGGAATCAAGCCATTCCCTGTCACCCTAAACCCTGAGCCCTAAACCCTTAACTGTGTAGAGCCATGATCGCATTGCGCCACGTAGCGTGTCAACCACCTCCCAGTTGGCGGAGGTGCCCCTTGCTGTGATTAGTAGACTGTTCTATCGCAGGTGAGTGTGGCATCGAGTGAATGCACTTGTTCTTGCAGCTAGTTGCTTAGGGTTTTGGGTTGTGGGTTTAGGGTTTAGGGTGTAGGGTTTAGGGTTCTGGGTTCTGGGTTCAGGATTTAGGGTTTGGGGTTTAGGGTTGCTTAGTTCTAGAAAGGTTCCTGTTGAGGGAGGATCGTCTTTTGGCTGCCTGGCAGCACCACTTCACTCGTGCACGTCCATCTGTAGTCAAGGCAATCTGGGGTTAGATTGATCTATGTCCCCCTTGGGAATTATTTTTCTTTTTGTTTATATAAAAACCCAAGAGGACCCTCACTGAAAGCTTCTACATGGTCCTACATGCCGAGTCCATGGATTTCTTTGAGTACCTCTTCTAAGCCATGTAGTACGGCCTACCAGTTCTGCTCTCCTTGCCTCTCTCCCCACCACACTCTCTCACTCTGTCCCTCCCTCTCCGTCCCTCTCCCTCTCTCTCCCTCTCTCTCCCTTTTTCTCCCTGTCTTTCCCTCTCTCTCCCTCTCTCCCTCTCCTTAAATGAAGCGTTATCGGTCTTCTTTGCTGAGACACTGGCCACTCCTCTCTCTCTCTCTCTCGCTGTCTCTGTTTCTCCCTTTGTGCCATGTCTTACCACAGCAAGCAAGGTACATTAGCACAGCACGATACCAGATCCTGTATGTGTCATGAGGATGCATAACTTCATTTGTGCAGATCAATCCAAACCCTCCTTGTGACGAAGTTCTTTTCCACGAGCTCCCACCAAGTGGCCTTGCTTAGCAATGTTTAAACACGGCCCCTTGCGGGATAACTGCCGCAAGGGCGTGTTGTTGGCTGAATGGCGGCTCGTCCAACACATGGGGGATCACAGGTTTGAGAATTTGAGAGCAAGGACACCAACTTCCAGCATCCAGCTTTAGCTCTGCGAGCGCCCGTTGCCAACGGCCTGCCCTTTGTCAAGATCGCTTGGGCTTAGGGGTGTTCCATGAGGGCTGCCATGTTTTTCAACGCAGTCATTTGTGTCTGCTTGGGTGCGGAGCAGCACCGTTCAGAAGAGGTGGACGGACGAATTTAGACCGTCCCGATGCAGCCTTTTCGCATGCGCGCGGCGTGGCCAGATGTACATGTCCGTGAGGAACCCTGAGGGCAATGTCTTAAGGGTGGGAGAGCCTTGTGTTGACCATTAGCCTTCCTCTATTGCTGTAAATTTGTGTTCCTCACACTTTTCAAGGCCGTGTAGCGTGATTCGAGACAGCTTCGGGTTTCAATTGTTTGCGAATGGAGATGGCACGGCTTGCGCAGCAATTTTGGCCAGCATCGGCCATCCTGCACAGTTAGATGTTTCTGAGTCAGCACCTGGTCAGCAAGTCTGCGCTCTAGAAAAGGGTTGCCGCCATCTGCCAACTGTCCGAGTTGCAGCGCTTTAACCTTTGGAGCCTGCCCGCGTGTTCACAAGGCTCTTTGGCCACACTGGTTGCTTCCTGCAGGGCGATTTTCAAGACCGCCTGGAGCGGAGGTGCTCAATCTGTGTCAAGGTGTTGCTGGCAACCCTGAACCCTAAATCCTAAACCCTAAACCCTAAACCCTCCTTTTGGGCACCGCCGGCACCACGAAGTATCCGGTGAGTTGTGTACAGCCGCCTAGCTTTGAGGAAGTGCGCTGTGCGCCAGGGCCGGGCGTTGGCGCCACTGGACAGACTAAAGCGAGCTGATGCCTTCACATGGGAACGCCCAAGAAAAAGGTTTAGGGTTTAGGGTTTAGGGCATGAGGGCTTTGTAGGGGTTTGTGGGGCTTTGTAGGGCTTTGGGTTTCAGGGCCTTTGGGTTCAGGGCCAGGGTTTAGGGTTTAGTGTTTAGGGTTTACTTCGGGATGACGGTTCATGTCTTCCGACCTTCCCCGTCCGTAGAATCCTGCAACAACCGCCGCTGACTTCGACCTTGTCAGCAGCCTCAGGGTTAATACTTAGGGTCTAGGGTTTAGGGTTTAAAGTTTTGGGTTTAGGGTCTGCCAGTTGTAGGGGAGTGGACTCTACAACTGCCAAACCCGCCAAGGTTTGATTTCCGCAACAGCACACTGCGGCACCGCTACGACTCCGTCAAGTACGTGGTGAAGAGGTGGGGCCTATACTGCAGTGATGGCTACCAGAAGTGTGGGGGTTCAGGGTTAGGGTTTAGGGTTAAGGGGGCGTGGCTTCGGGACTTTCATAGGGTCTACTACGCAAGCCATCCCGCACCATCCAGTTTCCAACAGAAGAGTCACGAGCCGCAGGCTCACTCATGGCAACAATACTGCCACCCGTGGTAGCTGAGTAGGTAACCTTTTGGGACGTATATCAGCCCACCATAATCAACAGGTTTAGGTATACTGTAGTATACGCAAAAGGGTTCAGTTTAGGGTTTGCATTTTAAGCAGCTGTGGGGCTCCTCTTCGGAAACGGGGGCGAGGAGGCATGGCAACATGGAATCCTGCACATTGCTTGCGCGACAGGCTTGGGGGAAAACTGAAACTGACACCCATGATGAAACTTCGGGATACTGAGGAATAATTTTTTATTTTGGGTACTTCAATTCCAAAGAAACAGCTAAAATTATAATTCTTGCTAGGGTTCCAAGTTCAGTATAGGAAACCCTCTAGGAGGTTTGAAGGTTTCGTGGCTCTAGGTGCAAGAGGTGGAATGTGGCTAGGGGGGGGGGGGGGTTGTTGGATGTAGGCATGTATGGGGTGAGCTAGCATGTTTACCTGGGAGTCCTACAGGCCAGGGAGCCAAAAAAGGCATGTATTGGGCACAGGTTACGCAGCTCAGCGACGAACTACCCGTATATCCGTAGTAGCCTAAACCCTAAACCCATGTGCCGAAAATCCTCAGGCTGGAAACCATCGCCTATGAGGTGGACCTTGCACAGCAGCGACAAAGTGGATGGCTCAGCTATCATACAATTTGCTTAAGAACCCCCCCTCCCCAAGAAAAAAACAAAAACAAACATATAGGGTTTAGGGCTTGGGGAGAATCATCCCACATTGCCCTTACTAGGGACTAGTATGTTCTATTTTGGGGGGGCTTCTTCAGCAACTAGCGGTAACCCCGAACCCAAACCCAAATATGCTATCGTTCTCCTTTCCTGGGTTTGCAATGACCATTTAGAATGTTCTTCGGAGAAGGGGCCAGAGTACCCTAAGCCCCTAAAACCCTACAACCCCCACACCCCAAAACCCCTTTCCGCAACATAGACCGCGCAGTGTCGTGGCTAGCCGGGTGGCAAACAAAAAACCCCAAACCCCGAAACCCCGGAACCTGAGCCCTAAACCCTAAGACGCAGAGCTGGGCCCCCCCTGCATCGCCCTTTTTCGATGGGCGAAGAGGCCTTACACAATATGGGCACCAGAGGCTCTGTTTTCGGGGGTTTAGGGTAGGATTGGGGGTTTGGGGTTTAGGGTCCGACTATCGGGGGTTACTTGGGGGGGCCTCGGTCTCCTAAAAGGTTTAGGGTTTGGGGTCTAGGCTACCACTTACTTAAGAACCACCCAAAGATCAAAATATTCCTCTTTATTAGGGCAAGAAAGGGGTTGTTTTTCTTCTTCTATTTTTTTTGAGGGGGGTGCCGGGAGGGGGGGGGGGGGGGGGCGAGATGTTGGGTAACTTGGGGGGCTAGGTCTCCCAAACCTTCACAGCGCTCGCGAGAGGCCAAGCCGTGAAAAAAGGGTTTAGGGTTTCGGGGTCGCCCTCAACGCTGAACCCTGCTACCAGGATGGGCCATTCTGCCCTATCATCCCTTCAAACGGCCCTTAAGA